GGCCAGTTTCCAGGGCTGAAAGACGGAAGTTACGTTGTTGAATAGGAGGATTAGACCATCAGCGGGGGAACAGCGGAGAGGTGGTAGATAAAAAGAAGAGTAGGATCGAATTGCAGGAATGCGACATCGAGGCGTGTGAGGAGAGAACGAACCCCCCCTCGGGGGGACGGGGGGGGGTTGGCAGCCAGTACTTGGAAAACATGCGCGATGTATAGCAACGCAACCTTGGGTCAAGAGTCACGAGGTGAGATCACAGCCAAAAGAGAATCGCGCCCAAGTCGAAGGCCTTGATCGAGATTGCCCTGCTGACAAGGATGGCGACAATAACTAGTAGGAGAACAACTGCTTGAGCCGAGGCAAGTCGCCCCCTGTGCTCAATCATGCACTTTGGTGTGGGCGGATGATGAAGTACTCACACAAGGAGAACTTGTTGGGCTGCAGCAACAGTTACTCGGGCCCCTTTTCCTTCCATGGAAACGGGGGAGGAGAGGGCCCTACCACCGATCGTGCGCGAGAGAGTTGTTGGGCCTTGCGAGGTTTGCGAAGCATGCTGCGGAAGGGTATGTGGGGAGACAGTGACCGGGCCCTGAGAGGAGGGTCAGGAATAGCGGTGTGAGGTGGCAGATGCCGCCCTGGACGTGGAACAGCATAGCATGCGTAGTTACAGGAGGGGAGTGCGGAGATGAAGGTGTGGGGCTAGTGCGGAAGTTGAAGCAGACGGAGGTTGAGAAGGGTGCGGAGAGCTTCCACCGAGTAAGCTCTACCAAGGTAATTAATTAGTCACACAGGCACACTCGTTGAATTTGTGGATAAATACCGTCGAGCGTCGCCTCGCATTCCGGTCTTCTGCCAGTGGCCGACAAATGCGCTGCGACCAGCCCGGTAGAAAGACGCGACTGTGGTAGATGAGTTGCGGTAGCACAAGTGCTGGGCATCTCACATGCACATGCACCAGGTTGGACAAAGCCCGCTTCTTAGATACGAGGCTCATCTCCGTGATTGGGATAGTACGTGAATGTCAGCGATGGCGATCATGGCTGTGAAGTTCCGGCGCAATATGTGGAACTAGCAACTCAACGTCGGTGGACCATGCTTATACATATCCGTAAAGAATGAAGGTAGAGGTCTTGCCATGACGCGGTAACCGACCTGTGAGAAAATTGTTGACACCAAGCAGGGATGCGAAGTGTGAACACACCGTATTGCTGAACAAGACATCCATCCGCATTCGCGTCCGTTGAGGGAAGAGGTCAAGTTGTGAGATGATACCTAATCAAGACAGACAGGTGAGAACACGCAAGATGAGGGAGGGCAGAGACGAACTGTAACGCAGACCAGAGGAAGGAAAGACCAAGGCTCGAAAGGCTCAAACAGTACTCTTGCTAGTTCCTACTAAGAGTCACTAAGAGTCACTGCTTTGATCGTTCAGAATCGGGGTTTGGGTGTGAATGTGCTGCCACCAGATGTGTCGTATGGGAGGACGAGTGAGTGTTGGCCTGTCTTGACCTTGTCCGGAGGTGACGTAGTGGCGCATCGTTGAGAGAAGAATGTGAGTTATGTAGGTCAACGTGTGGAGAAGAAGTTGCGCACCATTAGTGGAGCATGGACGAGTCGATGGGCCGTTGCGAGAAAGAACGAATTTGGATGTGGATGTAAGAAGACATTGTCAGGACGTAGTGCGGGTGAAGAAGTGCTGACTGGGGGAAGGTCCATCATTTTCGAGGTATGTCGTACAATTGGGCTTGGTTTGAGGAGTCGAGAGTGGAGGATGTGGGACGGATGTCGAGCGGTCTTGACTGGCTATATGGGCTGATGACAGACTGAATCCGAAGATGATCAATAGATGCCGGATCATCCAGACAAAGAAAGCGGCCCTGTTTGAGAGATTATTCAGGATGCGCGATATGAAGAGACGAAGAGACGACGTAGCTATAGTTTCTAAACATGGGAGCATGGTCGAGTCGGTGTATCTTCATTCGTTGTTATGGAGGGGACACCCTCTAGTATCTTCGACAAGATCATGTCAGGCAACCATCCAAAGATGAGAGGAAGGGTGTCACGTACCATCGCTAGAGTTTTTTTTTGGGGGGGGGAGTGAATAGAGTGCAGAGTGCAGAGGGGATGTGGATAGTGTGCCGGGAGGTTGGGGGGAGGGGGGGAGACGGCGGTAGGAGGACGGCGGTAGGAGGACGGCGAGGAGTGTGGGTGGATACGCCAGGACTAGCTCACTGCCCTCTCCAGCGAAGAAGGGGAGCTGTCGCGTCTATACAAGGAATGAAGAATACACGATTAATGCGTATGAGTGTGGGGAAGGGAACGTAGAGGAGGCGGAGGAGGGATTGAAGAGGTGCCTAAGATCGAACGCGTCTGTTTACTGTCTGAGAGCATCGGTTGATTTCCCTCGATCGGAGCGCGTCTAGAAGCATTGAAGAAGCCTTATAAACCCCCCGTTCCCCCCATGGCGCTTTCTCCCAACTCTTTCCCCAACCCCCACCTCCTCTTCCCCCTGCTTGAGGCAAAGCAGCAAGGTTGAGACCGGTGAGACGGCGATTGAGGATCGGATATCACTAGTTATTGATGACAGGGAGTCGACAGACCGCACGGTGGAGGGAAGAACCAGCATTAAATAGTATAGCTAGTAGTATTAGTCGATGCAACTAGAGACAACCTTCCCTCCTCGTCGTCGTTTCCCCCCTCACCGTGCTAGGATGATGGTAGGATTTGGGAGCCCTGGAATGCCGTCACACTATCACAGGGATTAAGGAAGCAAAAGGCACCGCCACCAACAGAAGCCTGGAAATATCGGAGGTATGCAAGAATTAAGTCGGAGGTAAGGAAGTTCTATCCCCTCCGAGCCTTCCCGTTCCCCAGTCTGAACTCTTTTCTTTCGCCTTTCTTGCTTGCGTAATGCGTGTCCAATAAATAAGATGCGGGCAGTGGACGAACAAGTGCTACTGCTGCTGCTTACCCAGCCACGTCGCCCGGTCAGTCGTCTTTGTGTTTGTCGCGGGTTCACGAAGTTCGGTATGCTGGTTTGTCAACTTGCGCATTGATTATACGATATTAGGATATAGTTGGTCATCAAGAACAAATCATCGTGACAAGCACACAAACTGATCAGATCCGGGTAACCGCTGATATGATCACATAACCAAGCATTTCCCATTAAGCCCCATGGCTTCTAGCTGTTCTTCACCAGATTCCCGCTGGTTGGCCGCATCCTTTACCTTAGTTTCCCCCGGGAACCACTCCTGCATGAACCGAAGAAGGGCCCAATCAACGTTGTCTAACAAGATATGAGCGATCCTTTTGCTTCATGCAGCGTTTGTCTTACCTCCGTTAGCCTTGAGCACGACAGGTGCCCGACATAGAGGACAATCGTCCTGTCCCCTTTTCTGCATTTTCACCAAGCAGCTGAATCGAGACATGAGGTTGTGCAATAGCAAACGAGGAACAGACAAACCGAACACAAAATAAGTGACCACAGTCTAAACGAATAGGCTTGAAAGCAATTGAGGTACCTGATCATATGGTGAGTCCTGCCTCATCCAGAAATCGTTGGGTACTTACATATCGCACAGGAATAGTCCTCAATTTGGGGTATGACAGGCAGTAGTTTCTCCGTGAGCGCGGTGAGAAGCACATGGGGCAAAGTGGTTTTTGTCAACCAGGGTGCGATGAGCAATGGAGACGAGTCGTCCTGAGGTACAGAAGATCTGACAAGCGCAGCATACTCGGATGTCCCCTTCAAAGCGGTTCGTTTGTCGTGTTTCTTCAGAATCTTGCGGGCGGCTTCGGCATTTGCCTTTTGGAACTGCGGCGAAGGGTCAGACTTTGGTCACCCGGTCAATGCGGGCTACCGACCTTCTTAAGATCTAGTAGCATGACGTTTAATTGCATGAACCGATCAAATGCCTTCCTGCACTGAATGCTCTTCATTCTCCGTGAATCAAGACGTCGCTTGACGAGTTCGGCGGCAAAGGCTTTCAATCTGATCTCCGTCTCTTCAACGCTTCGTTCTCCCCTATGTCGCTCCGACACATTCTCGAAGATTTGAGCCTCTATCCAGAGGCTGAAAATCTCACGCCATATGGCTAAGTCACGTTTACCCCGCCGAGTCGGCCGACACGCATCGCTGATTGTCTGAGCAAGGTCTATGACGTCCTGAGTGAACTGATCTTTGAGGACAGAAGCGAGATGTTCCAGGGAGCGAAGCGCCTGGGAAAACATTTGAAAGAACATCGTGTCCGAAGGCAGCTCAATAACCAAGTCGTCTGGATGATGTTCGTCGTGTATGATGTTTACCCCGTGTGGATGTTTTGTCGGATGTGGGGTGACCACGACTCCGTTCAGTGGAGGAATATCCTCGTCATCATCATCCTGTTGACTTGTCACGACGAGATCTTGCGGAGTGATGACCCAGCGCACCTCTTCGACCGCACTCTCCATCTCCTGAATCCGTCTCACAGCAGATTCTACCGTTCCCAAATCGCCGGATCCTCGTTGTAAAGCCCACAGGGGATTATCTGCCTCGTACTGTGACGACGACGACACCAAAGGTGGCGATCCCTTCTTCGTCAATTGGGCGGCAGCGGCGGCCGTAGCCAGATTGGTACCTTCACCGGTGCCTTCGGTATCGGTTGTGTCACCAGTGGCATCTGTCGGTGGGCTGCCAACGGACTGCCTGAACTGTCGCATTTCTGTGGGAGATAATGTTCCAGATGAAAGCCGTCGAAGCTGCAGCCGTAATCGACTGGTGAAATGATCGTTGTTAGGGCCTAGCATCCAGGATCAGGTGCTGCTCAACCCAAATGATGATTGAACACGCACCATCTATCTCATATGAGGCCATACTTCGTCTCCTGCCTTTGCGTGCGTGAGGAGTAGCGCCATTGTTAGACAAACTGCTACCCTCCTTCCCCCTATCCCTTGTGGGTGAGTCTGGAAGTTCCTGAGGTGGGACTCAGCAACCGGGTTCCAGCTGGGGCGTAAGCGTTTCATACCTCTATCCGTGCTGGCGAGGCACTCCTGGATGGTTTTGGAGGTGCTGCTCTATTTGACCGCTCGAGGAGCTCATGGAGGACCTCCGGACTCAACCCCACAGACTGAAGCTCATCGACGACGTTCTTGATTAACTTCTTGAGCTGCGGTGAAGGGACGTATGTTGTCAGCATCATTCCTGCGCATGTGAAGGGATCGAACGGCGCGTCGTGTAATATACGCCGGCGGCATGGGACGTGGGGATGAGCTGTGCATGCTTACCTGACCATATTCAATCGCACTGGCTGTCCACTCTGGAGGGAAAGAAGACTCTCTGAGAATCCGCTCGTACTGTTTCCCGTATTTCATATGTCTGAGTGCGGGTTAATCACGGTCTTGCCAAGCGTTCACGTTTCTTATCCCTCGCGGTATATTTCTCTGTTCTACTTCGGTTCGTGATGGGTTCGTGAATACAAGAGAACACACAAGAAAAGGGGATAAGAGGGCCCCGGTCTTGCGGCGCATCGGACAAATATGTATCGCAGACGGATGAGTTCGGCCAGGGGGCGTCGCTTCCATATGGTAATGACGTACCATGTGGTGGTAGCCTCGACCCTCTTTACTTCCGGATGCCTCCTTTTGCTTCCTTTCCTTGTGAGTCAGGGTCTATCCGACCCTCTCCACACGTGCAAGCTCCGGTGGCCCTGATTAGCGCGCCTCGGCACAACGTCCGGTCCAATCCGTATTCCTTTCTCGAGCGCCAATGTGAGAGGCTCCGCCCAAGAGGGGCGTTCATCAAGAGTTCAAACAATGTTCATTATCATCATTTACTCTATCTTTTGGGAAGATTCAAAGGCTGATCTTTGCCATGTCACACGACCGTCCTGAAACCCAATTTTCATCAGCATCATTTTGTGGCGTCCACTTATCACTCACTGAATAGGCTTCCTGGGCTTGAAATGTAAAGACGTGTGGCTTGGCACACCCTCGATCCGATGGAACGCGTTCAAGTTCTTGTGTAACGTGATTTGGAACACGGACGCGGATCCTTGACTGCATAGAATCAAACATAGGGGCATCAGTTCTCGAATCCTCTTGGCAATGCCCAATATTATCCACGACGTACCGAGACGCGATAACCGCGGATGCCAGGAAGTATTTCCAAATCCGGTTCCACCTATATGCGTTGGTCATTTTAGCAACGTGCCCGTACTACTGGCTATCTCGGGGACCCGTACCTGTCTCCGTACTTGCCGAGCACCTTCTCTTCGTTCGAAAGCCAGTTTTTGTACCACCGCCAGAGAGTCGCAGAGTAGTGAACGCCAAGAACATCGATGCTCTTGACTTCAAACCCGACCTTTTCGACCTGTTCCCATGACCTTCGGTTAATTGCCGTGGAATGTATTGTCACGGTATCCTCACCTCCTTCAGCACCCAGTTCAACGGAATGCTGGCATCAGCACCAGGGAAAACGTATTTGTTCATGAAGAGCCCCCTGGCTACGCTTCAGTGCTAACAAGAGCAGGTTTGGAGGACACTTACCAAATGAGATCCTCGTATTGCCACCTCGGTCGGAATCCTGCAACTTGGAGGACAAATAGGCCATCATCATCAAGAAGATCATACACCTGGCGGAGGAACGCCCCGTAACGACGGATACCGACATGCTATGTTCCGGTGAGCGACGACCTGGGATTACCGAAGAAAACGTACCTCAGCCATTTCGAGCGATACGATCTTGGTATAATGCCCCGGGGTGTTCGGGATTTCGCGATAGTCCATGCACAGGATACGGGCCTTCTCGGGGGAGACACCATTCTCGCTAATACGCTTGTTACCAAACGCGGTCTGGTTCCTGCCAAGAGTAATGCCGGTCGCATCGCAACCATAGTTCTTCGAGGCGAAGGCGGCGAGAGTGCCCCACCCGCAGCCGATATCAAGAAGCCTGTCCGTCTCTTTAAGATCCAGTTTCTCGCACACTAATGTGAGCTTGTTATCCTGCAGTTCCTCCAGAGTTTCCTCGCGGGTGATGTCCGTCACAACGCCTGAAGTGTAGACCATGCGCGGACCAAGGAACCTTGAAAGATATCAGCACACACTTGATCAGGCTGCGGAGGAATGATTACCATTCATAGAAGTCATCGCCCCCTGTGTCCTCGTGAGCTAACACTCTCAGTGCGGGATCAGTTTACGCACTGTCATAATGGTCGCGGACCTGCTCCTCATCCTGGCTCTGGGAATGAACGATGACCTCGGGAAGGAAGTGTGTGAAGAAATATTTCCAGAGCTCGGGGGTGAAGGTGAACTTCGCCCAGTCGTGACGCCACTCAAGCACATCCAGTGGGTCACCTTCCCCAGAAGGTCAGCGATTGGTCCTCTCGAGTTGAAAAGTTACGCACCCTTGAATTCGATCTTTCCATCAAAGTACGCATCGTGGAAAACCTGGATGGGAATTTTGTTGTTACCGTGGTATTCTTTCTTCAAGGCCTGGTCCTTGATTTCGATGTAGTCCTCGATCGGGCGTCCGGGGAAAGCGAGTTTGTTATTCAGCCGGGAACCGAACATGCTCGCAAGCTGCCAGTACGATACAGTGATGGGAACGCCCAAAATGATGACCATAATCCAATAGGTTGTCCACCCACCGTAGTTGACAAGCGGCAAAGATCGTTTTACGACCCATGGAATGGCGAGCACGATGAAAGCAAGGAACTCGTTAGAGAAGTACCCATTACCCTCTGCTGGGAAAGGGGCATTCTTGATCGCAGGAATGCTGGTGAGGCGCACTGGTGAGGACGCAGCCGGCGCTGTGCTATCGGTCTCTGGAGTCGCCATCGTGTAAAAGGTGGGACGTTAAGATATTAGAACTGAAACAACGCAAATTCCATCCCCTTTTCGGAGGGATGCGCGGAAGTAATCAAACCCTTACCTCACCATGCGGTTGTATGGTCGTAAGCCAAACGCGTCGCGTCCCAGAGAAGTTCTGACGCGTCCGTTGGCGCACTTGTTCTGTCTACGACAATGTCCACCGATCCAGCACAGGCGCTCTTATTAGAATGTCGACGATCAACTCAAACAGACACGCTGGTGCCGTACAATGCCGCTGTTGTCACAACAATTATTCGCCAAATCCACACAATCCATGCGCATCTCGTTCATTCACTGCGAAGTGCAGCACCACCGGGTGACGAACTCACCCCTTCGCCGACGCCTCCTCCAGCGGTCATGTTCACGTCGACGCACCATCATCTTCAGATACGGCGACTGAAGCGCGTGCTGCTAGTCTACCACGCCCATCGACTCAACATGCTACGATCAATGCTTCACCGTGCTCATCTTTCCGTTACCCATTTACTACCAACCATACGACCGTTGCTCTCGTCATCTGAGCTTACATTCATTCGTACCTACGCTCAAATATTTATGAATTACCGAGCTGAATTTATCGACGTGTTGGACATAGCGGCAGCTGTCGACGAACCACCGAAAGGGATGTGGGTCAACGTTCGGGTTGTGAAGGAAGTTGGCGAAGTCATCACGGAAGCTGGCGTGGTCGATTTCAGGAAGGGAGGACGATATTTGGTACGACGCGGAGATGTAGAGATGTTGTTGGTGCAAGGTTACCTGGAAGTCGTAGACTGAGGACGAGGGGGGAGGATTTTTCATTTTCACGCTCGCAGGGTCCGCACATAATACGACCAGGCTGGAGCACAACGCCGCAAACATCATTCCGATGCAGGCGACGATCACAGACTCGAGAATAGTCGAAGCATTGCTGGATCGGCCCGACATGATACGGGTTTCCCGAGGCACCAGGTTCCACCGATAACGAAGGGCGAACTCTTTGATAATGACCGGTTGCCATTTCATGACCCGGTTTGTACTCGAGGCCCACCTTTGCTGACTTCCTCTTGAGCACTGTGTCAAACGGCGCGCTAATGCGGATGGTTTTACTCGCGAACGAACATATATAAAATTAGAATGATTAGGAGTCATGGGAAAGAATGCCGTATGTAATAAAGCAGAGAGCTAAGAACACAACATGATCAAGCCAGTGGTGAGTTGTGGAGTGGAAATAATGCTCTAAAATTGTACAATGAGTCTTGAGAAAATGACGTATCATTTGACATGGTATTCTTCAATCACAACATGGTTGAGACCATAAAGGAGGAGTGGGAAACCATGGTCCGGAATCCCTCCCCTGTGCAAGATTGATCCTCCGGTACCTCATTTTTTATTATGCTTAAAGGGCGCATACACATGGTAAGTGATACGATCCTTCGAATAATGAAACGGTACTCGGAAATTAGTGTTGGGCAAGAGGAAGAAGAAGACGGCGCCGTATGAAATGCATCCGTCTCCGCATAAAGAGTGTCCCTTTGCGCGTTGCGTCACCCCTTCTTTCGGGAGGCGCATACACCCACAAACCTGTCTAGTTCTGCCTTCTCTTTCTACTTGTTACGATCATGTCAACACTCGGAGGAGATAAACCTACTGAAGATTTACCGCCTGAGTGGGCCGCCCGCGCTGCTGCCGGTGACAACCCACGTGTTGGTAGGATCGGTCAGTCGAGGCGAGTACACCTCTAAACCCCGCTTAGCTCCACGTTGACACCATGCTACTAGCTCTCGCTCTGCTGCTCCCTCGGGTGCTGGGCGCATTATGAGCCTGCGTAACATGGGTACCGGATCCAATCCTGCTAGGATCCCTCAGGCGTCGGGTGAAGATGGAGATGAAGGGCCAGATCAGCCCCAACAGTGGTTCACCGGAGGTGATCGGAGGTACGGCCCTGTTCTTTTGAACGGTGCAACCGTTATAGCTGACATGATGCAAAGCGGTCTTGCAGTAGAAGCACCGGATAGTGCCAGGCAACGCAGGGGTGCGGATCGCATTATTAGGGATATCATCAAGAAGGCAGGGGAGTGAGTGGGCAGCTGTGTGCACTATTATGCCACAATCTGACCGGGGTCCTCCCAGCCGATCTAGCACTGGCCCTAATCATATCGAACCCAGCATACCTCAGGAACCTGATGCTGGGGGATTCCATGGCGGTGGGTATACCCTCGGCTCGGACGAAGTAGAAAGCCACTTTGTTCCTGACTCAACGGGGAACCCGAACACCGAATCTGAAGACGAATTCGAAGCGCAGCGTGTCGTCAGAGAGCTCACCTTTTGGCAGGAAGGTTTCAGCGTAGACGATGGGCCGCTGTACCGGTATGACGACCCAGCGAATGCGCAGATGCTTGAAGATATCAATGCTGGACATGCACCGCCTCAGATATTGAATGTTCGTATCGGTCAGCCCGTCGCAGTTCGTGTCTCTCGCCGTACCGATGAGCACTACACGCCACCCGCGCCGCGCCCTTTCGGTGGTTCCGGTCATCGACTTGGTGCTCCCACCCCCCAGATTGCTGGGGCCAGTGCACCAACTTCAGGTGGCATTCTCATGCCTGGCACCTTTCCTGGCACGTCTGTAGCACGTCCTCCAGCCAGCCCACCCGCGACCACCTCCAACCCTGCAGCTGCACCCCCAAGTTTTGAAGTGAACATGGATGAACCGAACACCAGCGTGCAGATCAGGCTTGCTGATGGCACAAGGTGAGCTGAATCATCATTTACACCGAACCAACCATTAATGGACTGCATTAGACTCGTCTGTCGCATGAATCATACTCATACAGTGGGAGACATTCGCAGATTCATCAACGCGTAAGGGTGCTTTCTCTGTCTGGGAAATCTCGTGTGGCTCATCATGCGCATCAGGTCTCGCCCGGAGAATGCAGCGCGTGCCTACAATATTCAGACGACTTTCCCTACTCGCGTCTTGGAGGATGAATCTCAGACTATCAAAGACGCTGGTTTACTCAACAGTGTAGTCGTCCAGCGCTGGGTGGACTGAGGGGAGCGGAAGACCAGAATAGCGAATCATTTGTATCGGCGTACTTTCTGCTAGAAATCATGTACTTCTGTGATGACCACCATGTGACAACGCCGTGAGATCACAAGACTTTGCTTGAGATTAGCCAGGTTTCCTATAGAGACTGAAAAAGCGGAACAAAATTAATTAGCTCCCACCTTCGCCCATCAACCAAGCGCTCATTTCACCTCATGCACCTCCTTTTACATGCGGCTGTATCGAACCCCTCTCATAAGTCGCATCCTGTATGGAAGGTCTGTTTGGACATCTGCAACATGTCTCAATCATAATCCGCTTGTGAGTCTGTCTTGTTCTCCTTTTGAAGGGAGATCACATGTCTGGACTTAGGGAATCCCCGAATCTACGTCGGAGACGGTGACTGGAAAGCGTAAAATTCCTCACGTCTCTCGGGTCATCGGAGTTTCTAGTGCCAAGGGTGGTGTGGGAAAGAGTACTGTCGCTGGTCAATCATTTGCGGTCGCATAACTTGGATGCCGCTTATCGTGTCCATCTCAGCAAATCTTGCCTTAACCTTTCAAAATGCCTTGTCTACACCAACAAGGCCCGCAAGAATCGGCCTGCTGGACCTTGATATCTTCGGCCCCTCTGTTCCAAAGTTACTTGGACTAGAAGGTGCTGGTCAACCGTATCTGTCAGCTGGTTTGTTCAGGACTGCGCGGTCGAACGTTACAGGTGCTGAAGGTGGTGTTATTAGCCAAAAAGCTGCTCCCCTTTCGATCTCAAGGAATCTACGCGACGTCCATGGGGTTCCTTGTGACTCCAGCATCAACCGATGAATCAGATGTAGCTATAGTATGGAGAGGTGCTATGGTACAAAAAGCAGTCCAGCAATTGCTGTTTGACGTGGATTGGCGAGCAGGTGCAGTGCTTTGTCCAAGACAGTTTGTCTCTCTTCACTAAATAGGTTACAGAGGAGGCCAAACCGTTGGATCTCCTCGTTATTGACATGCCACCGGGGACTGGAGATGTTCAACTAACACTGGGCGAATTAGTGAGCGTAGACGGTGCGTTTCGAGCATCACTCTATATAATTACAGAAGCATGCTCAAGCATTAGGTCAGGAGCGGTGATTGTCACCACCCCGCAACAGCTCTCCCTGGCCGATACTCGCAAGGGGATTGCAATGTTTCGCAAAGTTCATATCCCAGTGAGACTCCTGATCTTTCTACCACAATCGCGGCATTCAACTCTTCACCAGATTCTAGGCATCCTCCTCAACTATGCCTACTTCACCTGTCCCAACTGCAGCGACAAGCACTACCTCTTCGGGTCGTCAAAAGGATTTTACGAAACGGCTGCTCGATTGAATGTCCCTGTTCTCGGGGAATTGCCTCTAGCATCCGGACTGAGTGAGAGTGCGGACGCAGGACGGCCCGTTTGCGGATCGGATTCGAATGGGCAAGAGGATCGCACAGGAGGCGAGCAAGCCGTCCGAAGAGTAATGGCAAATGCGGGGGCCGAGATCTGGGAGCGTCTCTCACGCCCTTCTCCCTAAAAGTATCTCTTGCTTCATGAAATCAAGATACACAGAGGTGATTATTGCAGGCGTACCCTTATACAACAATGTTGGACAGTACATTTTCGTGGTACTACAGCGGTCTGGACAGTCCATCCCCAACGTCTACCGCATCTTCAATCTACAAACAGCCACAGCAGCTAGGCTCAGGAGTTACTCCAGACCGAAGCCCTCGAAGTCGAGGAAGCCCTCTCCCGCATCTGCGTCCATTTTCCGCAGCACTTGCACTTCAACGATCCAACGGGTTTGCTCGTGTTCGTCTGAGTCCGTATCGTCGTCTGCGTTGTCGTTCTCGGTTGGTCCGTTCCACTCCTGGTCATAAGGTGGGTTGATGGCTTTTTGGTCTGTCAGTTCGCACTTCTTCGAATCCTCGCCTCCAATCCGAGATGTGAGTGACATGCCAATGGGGGCAAGCGGCATAGCGGGTGCCGCCAACCCAGAATCGACAGCTCCTTCCGCCTTGACTCCCTTCATCCGAGCAACAGTAAACCCGACACCACCACCCACACTCGTCTGAGGCCCGAAAGGTGGTACTAACAACCCCTTCCCCCTCTCCCTCACCGCATCTCTCTTCATCCTTTTCGCCATGGCCTTAAGCAGCGGGTCACCTCTAGGTTGTGATATCTGTCTCGCTTTCGTCCTCGCTGGCAGGGATTCAACAGTCTGGTTCGATGTGATTGTGAGAGCTGCAGATGATGGTTGAGCGTTAGATACGGCAGAGGCAGTGGAAGCGGTGTCTGAGCCGGAGCTGGCGGAGTCTTCATCCGGGAGGGTGGCACTGTCTGAAAGGGGCGAGCGCTGCCCCACTGCGCCTGTACCAGGAATAGGAACAGACGCAGGACGGGGCCCAGGATGACTTCCGGCAAGAGTCTCTCGCTTTTTCAGCTTTATCGCCAGCTTCCTGTCTCTCTTGTTTCCGGGTCCGATTGCTGCTTTCTCGCTAAGGAGTGAAATATTGCTGCCGGTCGTGCCAGACTCCCATTCGCGCCCCAGAGGATGATTATACTTTCCCTGCCTCTTCATTTGCAACTTCATATTGTCCGTCCCAGCTGCCGCAGAGGGTGAAGGACTCTGCACGGCCCGTACCCTTCCTGCGCCCTCAATCCTGCCCATAAGCACGGGGACCTCGATTGCTCTCGAAATCAAGACCGTGGCACCGAGTTCGTCGGCCATGCGCTCCAACGTCTCGAGAGATTCTTCCAATTCGGTCTGTGTAAGCCCTACGAGCTGGCCAGAGTCCGCTACACCGATCTCATAGATAGCTTGTCCGCCGCCTTCCAGGAGGCGCCATTTGAGCTGTGTGACGAGTCGGGCGAAACGATCAGGCGTCGGGGCGATGAGCTTAAGCTATCCTTCTGTCAGAACATGGACCAGAGAGCGAACCATAGCAAAACGAAGGCGCGCCTTGTACTCGATATTCCCTTCCTCGACTTCCGGTACCAAGCGTGGCATGACGATTCCCTCAGCCCCCACAACTCCAGAGCTTCTTCTCCTCCCTACGCCTATCCCGTCGTCGTCGTCACCAGCAGGCGCAAGGCTCAAGGAGCTGAACGAGCTGCTCAGGCTTTGGCTCAGCTTGTCACTGAAGGCGCCGAGTGCGGCATTGAGGTCTAATGGGTCGATCTGAGGGGATGTGGAAGCAGGGCGGAGGTGTGGAGAGGGAGAGTTGGAGGAAAGGGAAGGAGAGAGTGCGAGCCACGGTGACGGTTGCCTTGGAGATTCGGACGTGTCTTCGCCGAACATTGGTGGTTGAGATGGAGGTAGGGTTGAGGAGGTGCTTGAAGACGTGAGTAAAATGCAGTTTACGGATGTGTTGCTTTCACTTCGTAAAGTCGACGATGCGATAGTTGAAATGACCACAAATATGAGTCAAGGTTGAATTGACTGTGAATGGGTGTGTGCTGTCGTTATGGTCAATGGTGCCGAGATAACCGGAGAGAAGAGTAGGCCTCAGGCTGCTATTCGTGGAATCATGGCTATATTTCTACGAGTTTGAGATGGTGTAAAGAGTAGAAGCAATGGTGGAAGATGAAGTTGAGCTGCGAGAGGCGATGTTTATATACTGTTCAGAGGGCGCCCCTCAGGAAATGACCGCCGCCGAGTCAGGAAAGTCGAAGTCCCCAGTCATGTGACTCGGCCCGAGCTTCGAACGGAGCCGAAAGCGGGGATACCAAAAAAAAATGGGTCAAGGGTCCCCTGTGTTAGTGCTCGTCTGACTACCCAAATACTCTCCTACTGGAAAGGGGAGTCATGGCGGCTGCAAAAAGAAAGAGAATCGAAGGAGATGACGATGAGAGACGCAGCAAGGGAAAGGTATGTGTCATTGCACAACGGGTTCCATTCGCTGACTCCCGTGTCAGGCGATGAGACTCGCACTTGTCGAACAAGATGAAGAATTCACCGGCTTCGGGGGCGAACAGGAGGAGATTATGCCCACGGAGGTGACAGATGAAGGAATTGATATAGAAGAGGGCGAGGAAGACGAGGATGAAGACGGAAATGCGGACGACGACGAGGATGATGAGGACGACTTTGACGACGAGTTCACCTCTGAAGCTCAGGCTCCTTCTGCCCTCGTTTTCACTGCACCTCCTGGACAGCGTGGCCCCACTACACAAGACCTTGTCCAGCTGCGTGAGGCAACCCTTCTCTTCAATTCGAACACATTCAAACTCTCCCTCGATGCTTTCCTGCCCACACTCCGCCCGTCTGAATCTAGGAAACCCGCTCTCACTGCATTCCTTCACAAGCTGCGCACGCACCTCCTCAGCATCCCCTCGATTCGTCCGACTCACCCACTTCAAGCTCAACGGCTTCCAGAGCTTAACGGGGTAAAAGTACCTTACCCTTTCCCTCGGCCGGCGCAGGAGGTGAACTGGAAAGTCCTCTTCCTCCCTCCGGTCGAAGTCCAGGTAATCGGCTCCTGGGCGACCAATACCTCCCTCTCCATTCCCGCCCGTGGGAATAAGAGCAAGCACGGGTGGGCGATCGATCTAGGCATCGTTATGCCACCTGAGATGTGGGAGAAGAAGGACTACCTGAACGGTCGAGCGTGGGCTAAGCGCGCATTCTATGCTGCTGTTGTGGCAGCGTCCATATCAGCAGGGGGATTGGACGTACAGGCTCAATTTGAGGCCCCTGGAGGTGACGAGAGGCTTGTCAGGGTGGTTTTAAAGGCCACTCATGGTGCGTATCTTCCTGTATCTCATCTACTGGAGCTAATATAATTCACAGGTCCGGATGCTCCCCTTTCTTCACACTTCGCCATTCACATCCACCTTCTTTTCCCTTCCGGCTCAGCCTTCCCCTTCTCCATTCCGCACCTGTCTCCCTCTCGAAGCTGCTTCCACATGCAAGCTTCCGCCTTTTCCCTCCCAACCCCGCTGTACAACTCCCTTCTCGTCTCCCTCTCCTTGCCATTGCCTTTACTGGTGACAATTCACCAATTCACACAAGACATCCCCGCCTACCGAGACGCACTCGCCCTTTTGCGGGCGTGGGTCAGCAGAAGAGGGTTCGACCGTTCCTCCCGCACGGGAGAGCGTAGCGTGCTTGGCTTTGAAGGCCGCGGCGCATGGTGGGCGCTTCTGCTCGGCGGATGTGTACAAGGCTGGGAAGAACCGGAGAAGCGTTCCTTGGGGGTGACCGCGAAGGCACGCCTTGCACGGGGGATGAGCAGCTACCAGCTGTTCCGCGGTGTTCTCGACTTCCTCCAGTCATGGGATCCCGCCAGGCCCGTGTTCATGAAGTCTCGTACCACTTCCAATTCGAATAAGTCCAACTTCACCGTGGACGAATGGACACAACACCATCAATGTGTATTCGTTGACCCCAGCGGGAGCTGCAATCTCCTGTCTGGGGTACCACGATCCTCGCTCCTCTTACTGTCGCACGAAGCATCTTTGGCGATGCGTGTGCTGGATGGAGAGGCCGAGGATGCCTTCGGCGCTCTCTTATTACGGGATCTAGGTCTCCCGCTCACGAGATTCGACGCTGTCCTTCGGGTGGACATCTCTGGCGCTTTGCCAATCACCGACCTGCGTCCAGCCCAGCTTGATAATGCTTCGCCAGCCAATGCCTTGGTGCACTCCATCTTGGCAGTGGTGGAGCGCGGGCTCTCGACCCGCGCAAAGTGCGTCACCATTCTTCAGTCTCCCCTTCCCTCCTGGGACCCTACCACGGACCGTCCCATCCCTAACTCGTCAATTGACATTGGGATCCTTTTCAACCCCGGTCAGTTTGCGCGGCTCATAGATCATGGTCCTCTCGCAGACGATACGGCGGGTGCAGCCACTTGGCGCGAGTTCTGGGGTGATAAGTCTGAATTGCGCCGATTCAAGGATGGGAGTATCCAGGAGTCTGTCGTCTGGGACGCGTCGTCGCACGAGGACCGTTCAAACATCTCTTCTCGACTGGTTGTGTACATCCTTGGACGACACTTCAGGATTCCTGAGAGTGCCATCACGCTCTTCCAGCCGATGCTAGATGAATTCATCCAGCTTCCAGGGAGTGCTGTGCAAGCGATCACCGGGGAGGTACCGAGCGCGATTGGGTTCAGCACGGTGTTGCAGTCGTATGACCAGCTCGTAAAGGAGCTTAAGGCAATCGAAGGATTCCCGCTTTCTTTGCTCAACGCGACTGCCGCCACGGAAGGTTTGCGATACACGAGCGCCTTTCCACCTCTGAAGGTCGATGCTTCTCGTGTGGCGTCGCTCCCTGACTGCCTGCGGCATATACCTGCGCACGAAATCATTCTGGAATTCGAAGCATCCACAAGGTGGCCGGATGATCTCGTCGCTGACCAGAAGATCAAGCTTGCCTTCTTCGAAGAAATCGCCACCAAACTCAAAGCGCGCATCCCTGACAGTGTCGTCCACATCGTCCTGGATCCTCCACCTGCCCTCCCGATTGAGGATAACTGCATTCTTGAAGTCATTATGCCGAACGGTATCGCGTTCCATGCCAGGATTTATCATAATCGCGAGCGAACCCTGCTTGAACGGGTCGTTGGTGACCGTGCAGCGACCGACAAAGAGCGCAGACAGGCTGCAAGTGTGCTGCAGCGATTCAATGAGCGCTTCATCGATAAACCGAGACATCATAGCGCTATTGCGACTTTACACCACAAGTATGCTGTGTTCTCCCAAACTGTCAGGCTCACGAAGCGCTGGCTGGCTGCGCATCTCTTGCTCCCCCATGTGCCAGTTGAGCTGATCGAGCTGCTTTGCGCGCATTTATTCCTATGCCCCGGGCCGTTTTCCCCTCCTACATGCTTATTGAATGGTTTCCTGAGGGTTCTTCACATCCTCAGCACCTGGAAATGGGTACAAGAACCGCTCATGGTGCCACTGTACTCATCGAAGGACGCCGAACAGGGTGCCCGCGTGGGTTTTCCGAAGGAAAAGCGCGATGCTGTTTCGGAAGCATTCAGCGTATGTCGCTCCGCCGATCCAAGCATATCCACTCGCGCATGGTTTATTGCCACGGAAGAGGACCTGAACGGTATGGCATGGGGGCACAACGCACCTACTGCGCTAATATGCCGGCGGATCACACAACTGGCTAAAACGTATCATGATTATGCTGAAGCCTCTTTCGAAAAGGACAATCTGCAAATGAGGGTACGTCTTTTCTTCGGTTGTGTAAAACTGATTCTGAAATCCAACGCAGACACTTTTCAATCCTCCTTATGACGAATACGATTTCACCCTCACTCTGGACCCCGGCGTGTTGCCAAACTTATATCAAGGACTGAAAGCAGACGAAAGTGTGTGGTTGGGCCGTATGAAATTCCGGAATTTGCCGAACCAAGAGCCCCCTATTTATGGCTCTATCTTGAAAGCCGATTTCGATCCGGCATTGCGATTCTTCCGAGATCTTCAGGTATGCCCGATAGCTCAGATACCCATCACCTAAACTAATCGTGTTACAGAGAATCTACGGTGATGTCTGCGTCTTGTTCTACGATCCCCTGGGCGGCGAAAAGATTGCTGGAATTTGGAATCCTGCGGTTTTGAAGCCGACACCATTCAAGGTTCTACTTGGCTTTTCGAGCATGCCTGAGGCTCATAGTGAGGATGATGGTGAAGCGAACGGACCTACCAATGGAGCCAAGAAGTCAAAGGCTACGGTCTCATTGAATAAGGATGCCATCCTCAACGAAATGGCTGCTTTAGGCAGCGGTCTCGTCAAAAGTGTGACGACCAGGTAACACTATATGCAGTTCCTCCATGATTGATTACATATTCTCCTATATAGCATACTCATCGATACCCAAGGATTTTGATTGCATGTAGCATTATAATACAAATGCTGGATGATGTCGTGCTCAATGTGCTCGTAGCTAATCGTGTCCTCCCTTTGCCATTCGTTCCTCTCGGAGCTTCCTCCAGCCTTTCCCGTACTTCCACTCTATTAAGGTTAACGGCCATGCCGTCACAGCAGTCGCTAGCCCCAAGATCGTAAATGTCCACCCTGCTCCGAGGTTCGTAATGCTGAAGTCTACAACTGAGACGATCACTGAACCAGTGAGACAGCGGACGAGGTTGTTCTGTGCACGAGTGAGCTTTCTGCACGTGACTCGTTGCTTCAAGGACGTACACAGGCCGTTACAGATGCGCCTCTTCCAGGGAAGAGGTCCATCATAAGTGTTTCTTATGTGCCAATAAGTCTTACGAAATCCAGTGAGTGTCACTACGACGTACGATTGGAAGTGAAAATGCCTGATAAGGCCCATCCCGCTGTAGTACGGGTTAAGATTTACTTGCACAAGCGCAGGCACAGTAACACACTCACCAAAGAACTGGAATATAAGCAGCACAGCGATATGAACGTGAAAAGAAGCTGTCCAACCTGTCCAGGCAATGGTGAGTTACCAATCAAACGCAAACGGGATAGTGTTCAGACGGACCGTAAGCAATGGTGAATACCACAAACATAAGCCAGTAGACGGGCGACGTCCTGAGCCTCGCATGCTCCACATATTCGTATTCGCTTACGCCCTTCTCCTTCGCGTGCCTCTTTACTCTCGCCCAGTCCCAGTCTAGGATACGCCCGCTGGTGATACTCCCGCACAAGCTCCCGATCCCATTTGCAAGGAAGCACAACCCGAGATCTACCTCGGACAGCCAGGGAAAGACGTTCAAGAAGATGGGCGAAGTGGACGTAATAATTGCGTAGAAGACAGAGTAAGGGATCGCCGTAGTAGCAAGGATAATGGCAAGGTCCAAGTTTTTCAGCAGGCGGAGAGTATCGAGGGGCGTGTTACTGCGCGCTGCTTCCCGCTTGCTGGTGGTGAGAGGCATGTTCTTCCGGCCTCGGCCCAGAATGGGGATCAACGGACGGTTCATGCGAGGAGGGGCGATGGATCCATCCCCAACGATCGCGCGAAGAGTTTCCGGGAGGAAGATGAATTCTAGGACGAGAACAAAGCCGCACGCTATGCACATGAACCAGAAGACCCATCTGCAGCGCCCTCAAAAAGACAAAAGGAAGAGGTTAGGGATATTACATACCGCCAGCCTAGTTCTCCGGCAAGTAGACCACCAGCGACCGGCCCGATAGCAGGGCCGATCATAGGACCCAAGGCGGACACACCGAGATACGTGCCTCGCTCGGCGCGAGAGGCAATGTCCATAATTGTTCCAGCACCTGGTTCCACATCAGAGTACACCAAATACTGCATGAGGACCACCTACCCAGGGCAATCACGCTTGCACATCCTGCAGCCTGGAGACATCTCATGAGGAGCAGGAGCCAGTACATGCTCGTAGGGGTTACTGCAAGCCCCACACAAGTGACGCAAAAGAGAAACAGGCACATCAGGTACACCGGTCTTCGACCACAGATGGCGGAGTCCGCTAGACTCCCCCAGATGATGGGCGAAATCCCCTGCAGAATCATGTAGACCGTCACTGTGATGTTGATAGATTCGATTGGGACGGAAAAGGCCTCAGCAAGGACTGGGATAGAGGGGAAGTAGATGTTCGCGCTGAGGGGGGAGAAGATCCCAGCCATTGATGTCATGAATACAATGAACCATTTCTCCCATGGCCTGAAGACTGAACAGAGACGTGTTCAAAAGGTCTGCTGGGACTGAGAGATCATAGAAATGCTCACTGGAGTACGGTCGCTCCCTTTCGATCATCTCTTCCTCGGCCTTCTCAGCGGGAGTCTCCGCCTCTTCCTCCTCACGCATCTCCCGCGCTGCTGCCAGCAGGCCATCCTCCGTCGGGATGGCAGTATCTCCAGGTGAGAGCGGGGATGGAGGCCGGATATGCACCATGATCGTCTCAGCGGCTCGTAAGGCTCCAGACCAGGCAGGGAAGGAAAGCAAGCTGTATCCTATCGTTGGCGTCCCATCGGGCTATTCACGCCTGTCGCCATGTCGTATGTCCGTAGAAAGCCGCTAAACATGAGGGGATCGGCAACGAAGTTTCGGCATCTCCCCATTAAGAGTATTCAGCACGACACATCCACCTCCATCCAATCTCGCCGCCATTAATATGTGGCCTATCAGCTGTGCAGTCTCCCGACACGAAATCGAGCAGTCACGGAGCTGACCAATGGCTGTCCCATAATAGCACACAGAGTCAGGGCACGGCCCGAACCACTTCGACCGACGTCGCCCGATGTATCGGGCCGGCCGGTCGTAGGGTATCTGCTTCCGTCCATTGGGCAAAAACATCAGCACGTGAGCAGCAGGCGTTCAGACCCAAGAGCGCGTTGTTAATTCGCGTTGAGCTTTCCTGACCCTTCCAAAATGGTGTCGCACTGTTCATTATGATACCCTTTGCTGCTGCACATACCCCACTTCGGAATATGGCTTTTACAAGAGTCAGTGCACTACCACCAGCGCCTTTCAGAAAGTGCACCGCCTTCAATGCGACCTGTCAGGAAGCTTACAAATGCAAGTGTTTGGTCCTTCATCGAAGTTGTTGCGTAATGAGATACTGCATTATATACATCAACCGGTGGCCAAAAAATCTCGTATGGTTTGAATCTCTTGCTGTGCCTTTTGCACCGTAAACAATATAGCGTGAGGCGATGTCATCATCCAACAGGATAGACTGAGCGCTTGATGACGTGAACAAATCCGGTTTCTGCTGGCATACGTGTTACATTAGCAGTGCGTTGTCTGTCCTCTGAATTCTCAACTGTACGAACTTATACCACGGCTTTCTATGGAATGATATTCGATTACGCTCGGATTTTGGACCGCGCTCGTCGAGGACCCCTGAACATGCCGCCTGGTTGCCCATGAGCATCTCTATATTACATAATCAGGAAGGTCCGGAATCAAATAAGTGCGGCAGTGCAAAAGTCTGAATATATATGTTTCATTATTTGTGACTCTTTTTTTATGCTTCAAAGCATCAACAAAGTGCAATATATTAATATAACATGTTTACATAGCTGTCGCTAGAGGTGTATAAGTAAGCAATGAAGGTACTTAGCCATACCCGGAATTGCTTCCTTTTGTGGCTGTGCGAGCATACTCGCATGTGATCAGCTTGGTACGCAATTAATGACAGCATACAATATTAATGAGTTGGCTTTGCAGCACCCATCGATAGCAGCAAGTACTCATATTAATATTATTAATAAGGTGCCCAGAATATTCACCTTTGCACGGTCATATACTTACTCCCTCATTCATTATTTTCCTCCGAGTCCCTCGGCTCCGTGCCTCTGAGCCCCACGGAATCAAATCAGCTTCCGCTTCGGGGCTTCTTGTGGGACCAAGAGGGGTCTTTATACGGGGTCTTTTTGCTCAGCCACCGCTAACTCAATGGGCCAGGGTCCAAATTAGGGCGTAATCGAATATCATTCCATAGCTTTCGCGGGCCCATCAGGGTCCACTGATTGCTCTGTTCCTCCAGCGTTCTGATCTTTGCTGTGTGCACTCCCATGGACATCTTGATCTCCCGGTATGACTGGGACGTGCTTCGCAACGAAGCATCAGGGCTGTGTAGGCGAAAGAACAATCAAGGATCTTGGTATCTCTGCCGGTAACTACGATAGAATGCCGGCGGATTAGCAGCCTGACCGAGCCGTATATTATCTGCTCCAATTGCTTCAGAGTTGACTTGGAAGTCTCGACATAACTGTCAGCTCACTCTCATGCCGCTTCTGCCTTCGCCGCCGCCCTCTCGCACTATATCCGATGCGACATCGGAAGACGTCAAACCAACTCTGACAAGGCCTCGGCGTCTAATTCTGTGCTTTGACGGGACGAGCAACTTATTTGACAAAGAGAACACGAATGTTGTCAAATTGGTCTCATATCTTAAGAAGGATGATCTCAATGAACAGCAAGTGTATTATCAGGTCAGCATAATTATCTACGGAACTGGTACACATTCGCTCACAGGAGAAGACCGGGGTTGGTACATACATCCCTCCAGGGACATCAATGCGCTTCGCTGTGTCTATGGCTAAGCTCGTTGATCAAGCGGTGGCTTGGGATATCGGCAATCATGTGAGTCGAAGGGTATGCTTACATCAGAGCAGTTCTCTGATGGTCGGCTCAGATCATGGGCGGGTACAGCTTTCTGATGCAGAACTGGACACCAGGGAGTAAGATCTCGATTTTCGGTTTCTCGCGTGGCGCATACACTGCCCGAGCGTTAGCGGGGATGCTGCACAAAGTGGGTCGGGTCGTAGATGGACAGAACTGTAGGCATTCTAATGGATGCAACAGGCCGGTCTCCTCTCAAGGAGCAACGAGGAGCAGGTCCCTTTCGCATACAAGATGTATGCCACAGGCAGCGACATGTGCGACGGCTTCAAGACAACCTTCTGCAACCCGGTCGAGGTTGATTTTCTTGGCGTATGGGATACGGTTTCCTCTGTCGGTGTGCTGACGAAGACGGACCTCCCCTTCACCGATTCGGCACAATTTATTCGCGTCTTCCGCGTAAGGGCGCTTTACCTTCCATTTACCCACAAAAGTTATTGAGCTTCTTCCTCCCCTTGACAGCATGCCGTCTCTCTGGACGAGCGACGATGCAAATTCAAGGCGAATCTATGTGAACTCTCCTGTAGCCGATGCATGGAGATCAGGATGCGCAACGCCAAATTAAGTGAAACTGAAGAGGACGACATTAAAAGCCTCGAATGTGATGAACCGCACACTGACGTTGAGGAAGTCTGGTTCGCTGGAGGACATGGCGGTGCGTACATAGCCAAAATCATACACTAGATGAGAAGCTGACCAGAGACAGATGTTGGTGGAGGGTGTGTGACAAATGGGGTCGCACATAGCGCGAACCGCATTCCACTTGTGTGGATGATCCGAGAGATGGTGCTCTCCAAGACGGGGATAGAGTTCAACACGGATGCACTCAATCGTGACGGTATCAAGCTTCCCACGCCAGATGCACGTGTACATCTTGTCTCTAAGCTGGACCTGCGCTACGCGGAAGACGTAAAGGCGCCCATTCACGACTGGCTAAACGAGGACAAACGCTGGTGGATCCTTGAATTGCTACCTTTCACCTATCGAGTGCTTCGGAAGAAGGAGCAAAAGAAGAAAGTGAAGAAATCGAGCAAGTGGAGGTTGTCGCCCTGGTACGCACACGTCCTTCCTGCCAATCAAACAAATGAAACAAACTGACTCGTTATAGGCCAAACTTTGGACATTATCGAAACTTGCCGAGCGAGAACATGAAGGTTCACGTCTCCGTCCTCGAACGAAGATCCAACAATCCGTCCTATGACTTTAGGTGGACCAAAGATCCAAAATGGATCCAGTAAATCACACCTCTGCGTGGTTGATGAACAGGTCGAGTGAACGAATATATCTTTGACGACGAACGAACCGATTTTCTGATAATTTACGTCATCACGAGTCCACGAACTTCTACGCACTTCACGCAACTTGTATCTGTTATGAACTAATAATATAATGTGAACGTCCATCACGACTTACTGTTCCATGAGCCGAACAGAACACGCCGAGACCGAGTGGCTATGTACGCTGACTGGGCAACTCTCCATCTCCCACACAGTTCGGCGCTTATTGCCTGGTACTGTAACTTGTAGTACTAGTACACTGCTTCACAGCATGGATCGGTGTCGGCTGACTCGATTACAACTCGAACCCCTGTCCTGGCTGTGTTACATCTCTCGGCGGCTCCTATCGTCACAATTGCTTGAGGCGCGGCTTCGGGACGTCATACGTCAAATTCTTATATCCTCCTAGGAGAGCGCTAGTATGGAATCTTGGGCACTGGCTGTGGGATCGCCTAACGTCAAGACAAGCCGATTTAATTTAAGGAGGTATTCAAATAGGTTTAAGAGGTTCGCAATAATTCGCCTTCGAGCTACTGTACACTCATGACAACCCGCACATCCCAGCCTGCGACATACGGGCTACTGCAAACGGGCGACAAACATGGACAGGTTGTTGTAGAAGATGTGGCTCTGACAGATTCTCCGACTGTGGGCTCTCCGACGGCTATCCACCCACTCCCTCCCCCTAAACAGCTTATTCTCTGCTTTGACGGCACCAGCGATCTCTTTGACTCGGCCAACACGAATGTTGTGCGGCTTGTGTCCTATCCAAAGAAGGATGACTCAATGCACCAACAAGTGTATTACCAGGCAGGCATCGGGACATATATCAAATCAGGCTGGATGATGCCGTTCATGGTACACCTCGCGAAGGTATTCGATATGGCCGTTGCGTGGGATATCTGCAACCATGTGAGAGGACGAACCGCATCGAAACTGGAATTATTGTTCATTTGCGGCAGATCATGGGTGGGTACACATTTCTGATGCAGAACTATGCGCTAGGTGACAAGATCTCTATCTTTGGCTTCTCACGTGGAGCGTATACTGCTCGAGCTCTTGCCGGTTTGCTGTACGAAGTCGGCCTGCTCACCAGCGCCATGTTGAACAAGTTCCCTTCGCATTTTCAATGTATCAAAGGGAGAATAGGGAGGGCTGGAATATGAGCGATGGATTCAAGCACACATTTTGCAATGAGGTTGAGGTGGATTTTCTTGGTGTATGGGACACTGTCGCTAGCGTGGGCTTGTTTCGCAGCAAGGATCTCCCATTTACAGCCAGCGATCATCACATACGTGTTTTCCGAGTGCGTCATGCCCACTTGTATCTCTAGCAGGCTCACTTCCTATTCAGCATGCCATTTCGCTGGACGAGCGTCGCTGCAGGTTGAAGGCGAATCAATGGCAGGAACCTTACGCCCCACCGAATTCGAACGCCCCAGACGAACCTGGCACCTTACACCCACATTCGCGGACTCGCCGCACGAAGAGGTCAACCAGTCCGTGTCCGTACGGCACCTTGCCTCCTGGTCAAAGCCTTGCTGGGAGTGTTGACATTGGCGGAGGTAGTTGGAGCACGGATGTCTCAGATGTATGGTTCGCAGGCGGACACGGCGGTATGCATAGTCCATGTCTGATCGAGGGATAGACGCCTCATTCCAAGACAGACGTTGGTGGCGGATGCGCGAAGAACGTCGATCTTTGTGCGGCATCCCGCATCCCCCTTGCTTGGATGGTGCGCGAGATCGTCCTCTCTAACACCGGCATCACCTTCGACGAAGCGGCCCTATCCCTGGACGGCATTTCTCTTCCTTCTCCGGAATTCGGTCCTTCCATCCTGGTCAAGAACCCGGACGGGGAGCTGAACACCCGCCGGGTGCTGGCAGAAGAGAACTGGGTGGAGAACCTTGACAAACGCTACGCGGAGGATATCAATGCACCTGTCGGTGATCAGCTTAAGCAGGCGTTCTACTGGTGGATGCTCGAAATGCTGCCGTTTACCTACCGTGTACCCAAATCAAAGAAGGGGCCCGGCAACTGGAAACTGTCACCCAGATTGGTACATTCCCTGAAATATTGCTTGTCATCTGATGCTTGTTGTTCCCAGACCCAATTTGGTTCGCCTCGCACACTGCAAGGAGAGAAGATCAGGATGCATGTCTCGGTGCAGTCACGCATGAAGAATAGCGACTACTCACCGAAAGTCAAATATGGCAACGCCCAAATTGAGTGGGTCCACTGAAGCCTGGTTATCTATGAGTTGTTTCCTCGAAGTCATATGATTTCATACTTATGATCAAATGTTTAATGATTATATATGTTTTATGTCACTCCAGGCAAATAACTATACATAGTACTAGTATTCAGGAGAGGAGTCATCCGCGTCAACTGTTCCTCTCATTCTGGCGATTCAACCCGGTCTCTCACCTTCTCTATACAATAGCCTACGCGTCCTGTCAAAACGAGTCCACCATGCCTGATTACCCAACGGTGTACGCAACATGCCACTGTCATGCGCACCGTTTCCCCGTATTCCTCGATCCTAGTACTCTGCCCAAATCCGAGGCTTGTTGTCACTGCGATGTCTGTCGTCACTCCGCCGGAGTGCCGTTCGTAACCTGCATTCGCATTCCGCACGCTCTCTTTCCTCTGACGGCCCCCGACCCGGACAATACAACTCGGAGCAACGCAGGGGATGGACATGATACTGCCCTCCCCAAAGGAATCACATCCTATCGTTCGTCTGGTCATGCTGCGCGGTACTTCTGCAGTATCTGCGGCTGTCACATCGCCATGCACTTTTGCAATCAATGGTTCCTCTCCGTGGGATGCATTACTTTTCCCTCTCTTCCAGAACCGGGTCTGCAAGAAGAAGAGATGCGCGCTGTGGATGGAATTTACAAGATCAGCTGGCATCAGTACCTGGAAGACACGGGCGACGGCGGAATCATGAAACTGATGGATGATGGTCTTCCGCGTTATGCCATCAGGACGGACGGAGCACTCTTCTCCATTCGCACTTCCAATGCTCCTGCACCAACTCACAGCTCCGACGCGCCTATCAAGACCAAGACGGGAGATGTTCTCACGGCTCGCTGTCGGTGCGGCTCGGTGCGGGCCTCCATCCTCCGTCCATCTGCCATCCCTTCTGGCCCGGGCGTAGCGAAGCGCGGGAGCTCTGACGGTCAGCGCTGGCTTAGTGGTCACTGTATGTGCACCGACTGCCGACTCACGTCAGGATACCCCGTCTCGAGCTGGACGTATGTGGGCCGTGAGCATTTGAAGCTCGAAGGGGAGGGGTTGGTGTATTACCAGAGTTCGCAGCGGGCGAAGAGAGGGTTCTGCAGGACTTGCGGCGCGAGTGTGATGTGGGACGGCGGAGGGGATACGGTAGACATCGCGACGGCATTGTTTGAACGGAACGAAGGAGAGGGGGTGAGCGCAGTAGAGAGGGAATGGACGTGGTTGGAGGGAGGCGTGAGTTTCGCTGGAGATGCGAGGGACCGAGGAATGAAGGCAAATGCGAGCACAGGCGCTTAGAGGGGATGCGAGGATACATGGTCATACAGAGTGGTATTAGTATTATGGGTTGTTGGGTTTCCTAAGAACCAAGAGACAGCATGGCTACGCAGATTTCAGCTACATCCAAGCGATGGGGATCTACAGCATTACACCACCGACGCACCCACACTCTAGTCCAGCTGTATGACATTGTCATCCTCGTCGTCATCTAAGATCAGCACACCGTTTTCCTCCCGGAAGTTCGTCTCCTTTCCAGTGGGCGCCTTGACAGCGCCTCCTTCTGTGCGAATACGTTTAATAGCTCGTGTGTCGTCCACTTCACCTTCGTCTTCTGGGGCGGAACGCTTGAGGGATTTTGCTGGGGTTAGAGGTTCTGAGGGTACAGGAGGCAGGACACGAGACGGAAGAGGAGGAAGTTGAGCAGGCACAACAAACGGCTTAATGTCGCCTTGATCAGGTCTGCAAACACATATAAGCACTCCGAAAACGTGACTCGTAAAACGTTGCACGTACGGCAAGGGTAACAGGACGAGAACTAGGTTGACAACCTTCCCTTCATAATCGGTGACTATCAAGCTCTTTCCCCACGTCACGCCCATATATGCCAACGTCTTCTTCGCGTTCTCTCCCATCTCGGGCTCGAACAGCAGCCTGTTCCCCTCGTACACATATGCTTCCCGTAATTCCTTCTCGTTCTCAGTTCTGTTCATGTCTTCATCGTCATCGTCATCTTCATCCTCCGCTTTCGCAACTCCAACAGCTCGCAGCACATCGCCCAGAATCGCAATCTCTGGATTGCAAGGGAAAGGCACGTATACATCCTTACAGATCGCGCAATACGGGTTGGGAGGGACCATCGTGCTAGTACCAAGGGGAGAGTGCGGCTTCTTGCGCACATAGACGCTTCGGATTAGATGATATGCCTTTTTGAGCAGGTGCAGCGCCTGCAAGACGATCATACCGGAGATCATTGCGTTCGTTGTGGCGATCGCTGGTATGATGTTGCCTGCCATTTCCTTGACCTCCCAACGGGTCTTGGTTGGGATACCGTAACAGATCGCACGCAGATTAGCAGTGGCAGTCACAAAGTCGAGCGCATCGTCATCATCTTTGTCGAAGCTGAGCGGCTGGCTAGTCGACGCCTGGCGTGCTGCTAGTCGTTGCACACTGAGAGTGTATTAGCGCGCTTTTCGCCCTGCTTTGCGAGACGACACACCTTGACGCAAACAGCTCGACATTATCCTCCAAGCTCAACTCCTTTCGATCCTTGAGTCCGCTCGCGCTATCTGGACTTCCATTCGCCTCCCTCTTTCCATTTTTCAGCCCATTCACCGTCTTATTCACCAGAGCCTTGCTATTTGTACTGGCATTAGTAGTCTTCACCGTGCCCGGCTTCTTCCGCTCAGGCAGAACGAAAGATCGTGCACGGATGGCGGTATAGTCTAACGGAACGGGTGGAGTCCGCGATTTCCACATGTCTTCCATCCCCAGTAAACGGTTGATATCAGCATTATAGATCTTGTCGAAGACGAGGGATGGCGCGTTGGGGGAAGAGAGAGAGGAGCGTATCGCGGAGAATGCAGCGGCTTCCACGCGCAGTTCGGCGATCTCGGTCGCTGGTGCTGTGTTAGGGCCAGCTGCAGCACAAACCACAAAACCAGTCACATACGATTCTCCCCGTTTTTTAATGCCTCCGCAAATTCCGCATCATCGTCTTCTGATTCACCAAACAGTTTACTAATACGGGCATCAGAAGATACCAGCTGCTGAGTATCAATACACACCTGAACAAGTAGGTTTTCGCCCATACGATACAGTGGACCGGCGTACTCGGAGTACTTCGTATCGTACATACCGGGAATGTCTTTGGCGTGTCCTTCGGCAGGCATGCGAAGCATTCAGTTCGATCCTACATTCCCATCAGCATCTTCTGATGGAGTACAACACGCGCTGCATACTTTGACAATCGGTTGCACCTGCCCCATATACCCCGCTGTACCGCTCTCCACCAGAGGCACATTTGCAGCGATGCACATCCTATTCACGTGTAGCCTCGCAGCCATGTTATCCAACGCGTTCAGGACGATATCAAACCCGCTGAACCAGGCGAGATCGAACCGCGGCTCGAAGATATCCGCGTGGATAGGTTCGATCGTGCATGCCGGGTTAAAGGAACCGGCGGTGTCAGCAGCGACGAGCGCTTTGGGCTGCTTGACGTCCTTTTTACGGAAGAGAAACTGGCGATTGAGGTTGGAGAGGTCGATCGTGTCCAGATCGAGGATTGTGATGTGTCCAAATCCGGTAAGTAGGAGGGTTTTCACTGTAAATAGCCGCTCAGACATGAAACTTGGAATATGCGCGGATTGATCGCGCATATATAGAGTACGCACGGAGCTCGCAGCCTATACCACCCGCGCCGACGAGCAAGACGCGCGTGTTTCCCAGCTGGGCAAACAGGTCCTTGCCGAGGATAGCACGAGCATACGCGTCTCGGCCCATATTCTGCTACTTCTTCTAGTTATCAGTGAGGAAATTGAGTATGAACGAGAGACGGGTGGTAGTTGAGTGAGGGGACGCGAGGTGGAGAGGACGCTGATGTGACAGGGTTCGAGGAGCAGGAGATTATTATTGTGGGCGGTGGGTATCAGCGGTGAAATAATACCGCGGCGACCGCGGCGTTAAGGAAAATACGTATCTATGACCGATATTTTTAGATTTCGCAAGAAAGGAGAGGAATACGGGATACGCTCATATGTACTGTTTTGGAGAATGGGAGGAAATAGCCTAAGATGGGATGAGCGATGACATTTTTTGCCTAGATGACGTCCACTGGAGGAAAGAAGCATCCCCTTGGGACCACAGCACATACATACTAGCAATACACTGGCAGTACCTGACATAGAACAATCCTCACTAGCTTTTACAAACCTCCCAACAACCCTTTACAGCCTCCTAAAAGCACTCAAAATAGTTACTAGTCCAGAATGAACCCATCCCTCTTCATACCAGACAAGATCTCATCCCTCAACCTCCCATCCCCCGCTTCCGCCATAAACCTCGGTTTCTCCCAAACCGTCCATTCTCGTAACACGCCCGCCAATCCCTCACCTTTCCCGCCCTCCTCCCCTTCACCTTCCAGCTCTAGCATTCCAAGGTTCACGTCCAGCTCCGATCTTCCCGGAAGACGCTTGCCGACGCTCGCCCCGCACTTGCCGCAAAACAGTCGCTGGGTGCCTTTCTCCGGGGAGCTATCGTACGTCTTCAGCGTCCCCTTCTCGAGCCAGGTAATATAGTCGTTATCGACGGAAATGAAAGACGGAAGAAGATGACCGAGCGAGAGCCTGCAATCCGTGCAAAAGCACAGGTGCGCTTTCCATTTCCGTCCCAACGGTCCTCCTTCCTCCGGGCGTCGGATCCCAAGCCTCACTCCCTGGCATTTGCACCCCGCCTTGCGCACCTCTCTTCCCTCTGCGTCCTTGTGCTCTACCACAGGTCCAACTTCCTCGGGCATGACGAACTCCAATCCGGGCCATGTGGCCAAGAAGTTGCGTTGCTGGTCGAGCCAGCGTGCGAAACCTCCATCTCCGGGCGGGGCGACCTGGTAGTGCAGGGAAAAGTCTTCATATACTTCTTTGGGGGTATGGGAGCCAAGATCGAGCGCTCCCATCGTGACCGGCCACTGGATCGTCCCGCCCATGCTAGCGACTTTCCACACTCCTGCAAGGCATGTACCACAGGTCGTGCAAAACACCCTCGCACCGCGAGGTGGGGTGATATAGCAGGACAGTCCTTCAGGAAGTCCGACAAACGTCGGGGGCTCGAATCCGGGGAAGATGTTAGCGAGTTGAGGTAGAGCGGCGTGTGTGATAAAAGGTGCGCCGGAGATGTGACGGCAGGAGAGACAATGACATGTCCAGCTGCGGAGAGGAAGCGTAGCCTTGGGCACTTGGACGGGATATCGATGCGTTCCGCAATGGCAGGTAAGGTGCAGAGTTATCTCGTCTGACATCATTGGGCAAAGGTCAAAGTGTTGACTGTTGAGCAGACGACTGTTATACAATAATACCCCTATTTGAGACGTTTATGCAGAGAACCATCGATATGGGCCACGTCCCCAGCCACGTCCACCATTCCACTCATGCCAATCCAAGGGCAGGATCCCTGATCATGTACGCGTAGGTGATGGCGCAGCAAGCGATGCCAATAGTTACAGCGTGGACTGTTCTGATAGGACATGATGACTCGCGATCGGTAATAAGAAGAAGGTATGTCTCGACAATTATGACATCATCGGGTCCGAGGACGTTTCGCTCCTTTGCCTTCATTGACACAAGAATGTCATGCGTTCGCAAGTGTCCGCCTGTGCGTCCACAACGCACATGCAATTTCTATCAAAAGTCAAAGCTAATTCTTAATTCCCAACAACCCTATTCAAACTCTCAGAAGTCCTCGAACAGAAATTTGAAGCTTCATAAGCCGTCAAAACCCATCCCTCTTCATACCCATCAAGATCTCATCACCCAGCCTCCCGATCTTCGTCTCCTCCAAGAACCGAGGCCCGTTCCAAACCGTCCATTCCTTCAACACCCCCGCTAGGCCCTCGCCGTTCCCTCCCTCCTCCGACTCTCCATCCAGCTCGATCATGCCCAGATTCACGTCCAGTTTTGATCCGGAGGCGAGCCGCTTGCCGACGCTCGCCCCACACTTGCTGCAAAAGAGTCGCTGAGTGCCTTTCTCCAAATTACTGTCGTACGTTTTCAGCGTTCCCTTCTCCAGCCAGGTAATATGGTCGTCGTCGACGGAAACGAAGGACGGCAGGAGATGACCAAGCGAGAGCCTGCAGTCGGAGCAAAAACAATGGTGTGCATCCCATTTCCCCTCCGAGGCCAGATCCCCAGAGCGGAGGATCTCGAATTTCACGCCTTGGCATTTACACCCCGCCGTGCGTACCTCTCTGCCCTTCCCGTCCGTGTGAGACTTCACATGCCCCACCTGAGCAGGCATCGAGAACGTATCCAGGCCCGGCCAAGTGCACCAGAAGGTGCCGTCCTGGTTGAGCCAGCGGGCGAGCCCCCCGTCGCCCGTCGCCGAGCACTGGAAGTGCTGGGATAAAGCTTGATACACATCTTCCTGTGCGTTGGAGCCCATGTAAAGCGCTCCAAGGGAAACAGCCCACTGGGCCGCCCCGCCCATGGACTCAGCTTTCCAAACCCCGGCCAAGCTCGACCCGCAGATGCTGCAAAACACCCACGCGCCCTGATCACGCATGATATACGCGCTGAACCCGTCTGGCAAGCCCTGGAAAGTCGGAGGCTCGTACCCGCGGAAGATGGGGGCGAGCTGGGGCAGCGAGCTGCGGGTGATGAAGGGCGCGCCGGTGACGTGACGGCAGATGGAGCAGTGGCAGGTCCAGCTGGGGAGGGGAAGGGTGGATTTGGGCACTTGGAGGGGGTATCGATGAGCGCCGCACTGGCAGGCGAGGTGGAGAGTTATCTCGTCAGACATGGTTGGTCGAGGTAGTAATAGTTAATTGCTAGGTGATCGCGAAGAGCTGGTTGAATGAATCTCGACATCCATTTTGGCCTGTATTTGAGCACTGTTCGCCTGTTGAGAGAAGCCTAAGATATGGATGGCACAGTCACAGTTCCAGTCACATCAAGACACAGAGAAGCATTCCAATAATCAGCGAGGCGGATTATGAGTCAAGCAATGATCGAAAGAGGATATTAGGACGGAAGGCTGTTGCCGCTTCGTGGAGCGGTCGACACACTCCGCAGTGAGAATCGCTTGGCAGGGTGTTCAGCGTGATCGGGGATAGAGGGGAATGTCCGATCAGTCAAGAGCAAGGTGTACATATTATCATGTTGTTGACTACCGGATGTAGAGATATTCCGATCGGAAGCGACAAGTAGTCCGTGTGAATGCCGAAAAAGGTATCTTTGTCATGTTGGCAACTCGCATTGTTCACTTCATCTCAAGGACATCCATATTCCGCTTGTCAACAATGGCAGTCGCATCCCCCATCCTTCCACCGCTCCCTGCTCATCTCATCGCACCTTCTATACCTAACGACTACCTTCGCCCATTCTCGTTCCCTCTTCCGAAGCATAAGTTTGTAGGAGTGCTCGCCTGCCAGCGTACGCCTTCTTGGGAACACGATTGTGGATATCTGACTTCTCGTGCAGGAGACCCACTCCTCAAAGAACTGGATACAAAAGTCACACGATGTGAGAAACGATCTGCACCTGCACCAGCTACGGGCAAGGGAAGCGGCAAAGGCCAGAAGGGGAAGAAAGACGAACCAGTCGTAGAGCTCTGGGAAGTCGAACTAGAGGATACCGGTACGCGTCCTTCTGCATCTGCTCATGCACAACTCACGTGCCTGAACAGTGCTCTTCCCCGAAGGCGGCGGACAGCCCTCAGATACAGGGACGATCGTCGACCTCACCAGCGGCACCTCTGTCAAAGTAGAAAAGATACTCCGACACGGGCTAACAGCAGTGCACTACTGCCTCTCCCCGCTCCCTGTCGGCACCAGCGTGCGCATACATGTTGACTGGGACCGCAGGTGGGACCACATGACTCAGCATACAGGCCAACACGTCCTTTCCGGGCTATTTGACACCCTCTCCCTACCCACGCTCAGCTGGTCTCTCACCCCATCCCCCCAAGCGTGCTATATCGAGCTCCCGCGCACGCCAACAGCGACCGAGCTCGCCCACGTACAAGAGTCCGCCAACCAGCTCATACGCGCCAACACACGCGTACACGTCTCCCTCTCCCTCTCCGACAGTGCCTCGCGACCCAAGAGCATGCCGGAAGACTACGTCGGCGGGGTAGTACGCGAGGTAGACATCGTAGGTGTCGACCGAGGGCCGTGCTGTGGCACCCACCTCCCTTCGCTCGCTCCGCTGCAGATGGTGTACGTCTTCCCCTGGACTACGAGTGTGAGGGGTACGAGCGCGAGAGTGTACTTCGCCGTTGGCCCGAGGGTGCTGGCTGCTCTCGCCCCCGCGGCGGAGGGGCTTAGGCAGGTAGGGCTGGAATTGGGCTGCGCGCAGACGGAGGCAGTAGACAAGGTTCGGGAAGTCATTGGGCAAGGGAAGGACGCGCGAAAGCGGGAGCAGCGGGCGAGAGAGGAACTGGCGGGGTACGTCACCCGTGAGGTGCTTGATGCGGCTGAGACGGTAGATGGGGTGCTCGTGGGCACTCTTTTCCGCCAAGAAGAGGACAGTCCCGCATCCCTCGAGTTCCTCAGTAACGTCTCCTACCGCATTAAAGACTTGCTCGAAGCGCGCGGTACTACTTCCTACCTGTTCGCTTTGGCCTCCAGTGGTCCGGGAGGCAGCCCACTGGTGATATTCGGCATGCCGGAAACGGGGGTGGTCAGAGCGGGGGAACTGGTGCGCGAGAAGCTGGGAGGGGTGAAAGGCGGAGGGAGGGGCAGGTGGCAGGGGAAGAAGGCGGAGGGCAAGTGGACGGAGGAGGAGGAGAAGGTGGTGGGGGAGATCGTTAGGCAGGCTGCGGGCTTATAGACGGCGAGTGGAATTCAATTCCCGAGGCTCGCACGCGTTGGATCTGTATACGGGAACGGTAGATTTTGTTCGGATGATGGATTGGATGCGTAGAGATTGCTACATAGATTATTGTCATGTAGAGTTAAGTAAGTACAGGATGTATCACCTCGAGTTTCTGGAATTGTTACTGTCCGTGTTGTCAATGAGTGCTCCGTCCCTAATTTGTATGTCCACTCCATACATAAAGTAATACCGGCTATGAAACACAAAAGGAAACTAAGCCGCTATATACCCTGCCCATCGGCCGTCATGATTGTATGATATTTGTGTCTTGGCGCCTGCGCACCGTTTGGGCAGCGAGAAGAACCACCGGGGATGCGGCGCTTGACGGCCTGAGCGTTCTCTTGGCACACGGAGGAGACCACCTTACGGCATTATGGAATCCTTTTTGATATTTACGGATAGGCACATTCAGAAACTCCATGTATTGTTTCTCGCTAATGCTACTATGCCACAACAGGGTAAGAATGAAGCCAAGTCAAACAACATCGAGAGGATTGTACACTACTCAGCCAGCACAGAAGTCCCAAATGTGCAGAGTATGACCCAGCAGAAAGCTCACGCTTGATGATGCTCCTTCTTGCGGAACTGGCCTGTCGGAAGGGTGAAGATCGTATTGTCCTCCGTGTACAGGCTTGCAGCGCCGACGTAGAATGTCAACAGCCCTGTGATGATGCCCATCGCACCTGCGGCTTTGGTGACCGAGGCCATCTGCGTGAACTCGGATACGGCGAGCACGAGGATCGTGCTGCAGATCATGATCGCAAGGGAGAGCATGGCGATGGAGGTGCGGAGCGCGCCGAGAGTAAGGAGGACACCCACTGCGCGGGGAATGTCAGCTACTGATGGACGGTCATACGAGGGAATACACGTACGGATGAACCAGGTAATGAGGTAGATACCGATCGCATTGTGTAGTTGAGCGGCTGTCTGTGGGGTTGCATTGTACGCGCTGAGAATGCCAGTGCCGGGGATGAAGATAAGACCGTACGACCCCCAGAAGGTGCTGAAGAGACCGAAAAGCGTCGCGCCGAAGGTGTTGCCGCAAGCCATCTCCCACATGCCGGCGCAGAACTGGCCGAAACCACCGCAGATCAGTGCCATGCCGACGATCAGATTATCCTAGAATGGGTCAGATGGGATCGGAATATAGAATATAGACATAGGGCGCTTACGGTCGTCACACCGTCAGTCTGCACCATGTACATGGAGAGCATGAACACTGGAGCGCCGAAAGAGAGCACGCCGAGTGGAGCTGGGTTGGCGAACTGCCTATGGCTGCTAGTCCGTAAGCACAAACACACGTCTTGCTTGGATCAGAGAACATACTAGGTTGGCAGCGCCGGCTGAGTATCTTGCCTAATGAGAACAGGGACAGACATTGGGCTCTCTTGCTTGAGGTCGGTAGAAGACATTTAATGAGTGTTGGTCGAGTCGCTGATGCCAAGCAGAACAGGAAGAGACTTCTGAGGGAAGACACTACCCTTGTGTTGAGACGAGGTCAAGTTGGGGCATTTCTCCTGCCAGATCCAGCTCAAGTTTTTATACAGTGCTTGATGGCGGAGCACGGAGCGGGATTACGGTCCTCAAGGCCGCTCAGGCCACCGCTTGGATAGAGATCGAGTGGGTGTCGCGCAACTGATCAAATTCCGACGTCCAGAAGCTTTGGAAAACACGTTCCCCAGTGTACGGGCCCTGAAAAGAATGGATCTACGGTTTCTTCGAGGAGATGATTGGTTGGAAAGGTCCACGCTGCAACACCTGCAGCGGGCAGCGGGGGGCTCCGATTGCGGCCGAGAGATGTACCGCCAGGATGTCCTATACATACCAAACAATATTTTTTATCGATAAGGGTTCAGAAGAAAACAGGCGCTGAGGGACTAGGAGAAGATCCGGGGAGTAGCTCGTAGAGCGGCGTTAGAGAAAGAGGCGAAAGCGAGGTGCGAATCAGGGTGGAACAGCTCAATGAACTGATTCCACCCACAAAATGACGATCATGAAGTGCGAGAGACATTCTAGCCACCCAACCTTCAGCCTATTCTCTGATAATTAAAATCAGCAGAACTAATTGATCAGTGGCAAGCAGAAGTCGCAGACGAAGAGGCGCCCTGGAGTGGTGGGCCTGAGCGGCGGTCCTAGACGCCCCTCCACGTGACACAGGAATAATAACGCGGAAGCTATCACAGTTCTTCTTTACGTGTGAAAGCAGGTTGTAAAATCCTCTCATCGATCTGTCACCGGAAGGCAGTGATGGTTACGGTCCCTCCAGATGTGTCCTTCACTTGGTCGTTGGAGCTCGCCATCAGTTGACTCTCGTAACTCTTGGGAACTCGCGCAACCGTCAGCTTCTTTTGGCGAACGAAATTCACACCCTTTTTGCTTTCTTGCCGTAACACTAGTCTGGCATACCAGCTTCTGAGGCGTTCCAGCAATTCATTCCGACTCACCACGTGTTGAAAAGCGGCGTGCGGTCCCGATCCACACGCTATAACCTGGTCATCAAACGGGATCGTGTATTGGAATTAGAGCGTAACAGAACCATGGCCGTTCGCTCCTTCCTTACCGGACTTCTTCCACCTGATGGTCTGAAACGAATGAAGTCCAGGCATTGGAGGAAAGCCTACTCGTGACTAACTATTCACATCAACAAGACCCAATCGCGGATTGGGGACTACACTTTCTCCTTGGGCAGCTCACCCGTCGGCAAGGTGAACAGAGACACATCCTTTGTGTAAAGAGTCGCTGCACCAACATAAAAGGCGCCCTGCAGTGTAATTAGCACATGGAGTACCTCGTGTTATCCTTGGATGCTCACAAATGCGGCAAGAAGACCGAGATACCCGCCAGCGAGCGTAACCTGCGGATTTTGGGTGAACTGCGCAACAGCCAGCACGAGGATGACGAGATCAACCAAGATGATCAGGCCGGCCAGCACGATAGAGGACCGGAATGTGGCAAAAATCATGATGAAGATCACTTTGGTTGAGAGTGAGCATCAAACTTTAAATGCTGGTTAGTTTACTCACAGATGAACCAGGACGTCAAATATACGCCAAGCGCATTGTGAAGCTGAGCCGCATCCGCCGGGTTGTCAGTGTAGGCGCCGAGGATACCGGAGCTAGGTATGTAGATCAGCTGTATATATGCGTCAGCGCTGAGCATCACAGAAGCTATAGGATCCCTACACCGAACGACAACCAGAAACCCGAGAAAAGTGAGAACACGGTCCCGCCGAAGGTGTTGCCGCAGGCAAATTCCCACATCCCAGACAGTAGCTGGGTCAATCCACCGACCATTAGCGCCATTCCGACAACGACATTTGACTGTGTGCTCAGTCAATATTTGGATAGACAGGCAGCAAGTGAGGAACGTACAACCGCGACATCACGGACCTGGACGTTGAACATGGACAACACGAAAGTTGGTCCCGCGAAGGACAAGACACCGAGAGGGGCAGGGTTTCCAAATTTACGATGACTGAGCGCCTGTTTGTCAGGCCCTCTCTTGCACTCGCGAAATAGGGGACTCACTATTGAGGGAAGGCCGGCATCGACAAAGTGAGCTGTCGTTCAAGAGGCGGCCTTCCATCATGTTCGTGAAGGGAACCGTTCTCATGCTTGCTTTCGAGAGATGGAGACATATCAAATTCTCGAGGAGGAAGAGTTAGGAGAGGAGGGGGAAGAGGAAAGGAAGAGGATACCAGGTCGAGAGGTACATCATCAAGTGCGGCGATGTGGTTTATATGTGAAAACTTGCTTGTGCTTCTCCGAAGCCATTTTCCCCCACGACCTCTGCGCGGTGCACTGGCCGCACGATCGATATCCTGCAGTAATGTCCCCTATTCAACTTCCTATTCTGTTTTTCCATGGGAATCCCAACCCACGACCTTGGCTCACCATATTCAGGCACAGCCGGTGACCAGCCCGAGTAGCAAGACCCTAAGAAATCAGAGCTCCAAGAGGTTCCTCGTGCGGTGGGTCATTTCCGAAGCAGAGCAAAGAGCCCCACTTTCCGTTGTCCCCCGCGCTCAAAATCTGTTCCCACGTATATTCCTCCGCATGACCTTCGCAACTCCTTCCCCCAAACCCTCGTGTTTTAACGCGGGATTCGCAGACGGCTTCTTGAATGCATAAGTTCATTCTGGGCCGAGTTCTCTGTCATTTTCATCTCTAATATCGTAACCCAGCGAAACACAGGATTATTTCCGCAGCTCCATAGACTTCGTCCAGCAAGCTTGTCTAAAAATCATTATTTTTCTTTGTCACACCGATCGGGAGCGGCGGAATGGGCGGAGAAAACAACCACAAATTGTGGTGGAAGATCAGGCACGCATCAAGGAGGTAGTTTCTTCAGTTTTCCGGCCGCCGGCGGAGGTCATTAATCCATGTAACTGAACCGAGTTTGTTACCACTCTAACTGCAGAATAGGAAACTTTAATTGTGTGCTGTATTCTCCGTCTTGCGCGCCCAAGTGAAAAACATCGGCATGTACAGCCAATGGTCAGGATCGTGAATGGTGTCTGCGTATGCCTTGATGATTTCCGGAGTCATACCGCTTTCACCCATTCGAAGATGAAGGCTGGCATAGGCCCGAGTGAGCGAAATACGCATCACTTCTCCCACTTTATTTAGTGTCTCATCTGCGAGGTGTCAGGCGCTGTTTAGTAGAAAAAGCGCAGAAGACTTACCGCTCTTGTACGACATCATCGGGGCGTGGAACTCGAGGCACTGCACCTCGCCGAACAACTTGGAATCCTCCAACCATGCTTGTAGCTTGACACCAGTGTCAGCATCCACTTTGGTCATGCCCATGTGAGCGTGATAGACACTGTAGAACTTCGAGATCCCATCAGGCAAAGGCCCATTCTCCCTGTAGACATGGTGGTCGATGTCTTCCAATAGCAGATATCCACCGGGCCTCACCGCGGAGGCAGCCTTGGCGGCAAGCTGGGGCCAGTTAGGCATCTGGCATGGATGGTTAACCGAATACGTGGTTGAATATTTCGGGGGAACCAACATGGACTAGAAGGAAACGCATGTGCACAACATCGAAAGACTCCGGCTCGAATGGCCAGTCCTTCATCAAGTTGACCTGTTTGAACTCGCAATTGGCGGGCTTGTGTGTTTCATTGACTGGGGAGATGTCGACTGCGGTGACTTTAGCCTCGGGGTACTGCTCAGCCATCTCGAATGCCCAAATGCCGCTTCCGGCGCTGGGTATGAAAGTTAGCTGACAACTCTACAGAAATTTCAAGGGGCTCACCCGAGTTCTAAGATGTCTTTTGGAGTACCTAGGGGTGCCTTGGTGTTGACCCCGCCGAGGAATGCTTTCAACCCAGTGTGCATGTCGGTAAGCCTGCAGTACCGTCCTTAGCTTCTGCATCTCACCAGCGCCTAACCCACCGACCTCTGCCACTCCGAATCGTCATTCTAGGTTGGGTGCTGCTGTCAGTCTCCGTTGGTCGCAGTGACACATGACTTACAGGAATAGCATAGGGAGCATCAGCCCCATGATATCCACGCTTGGCCGGGGCGGCCTTCAGAATCTCTTCATGAGCGGGAGCCGTCTCAGTCGCGACAGGTGCCATGTCTCCAGTGTCGATCGTACCGTGATATCGATCGGGGATATGACGGGTGCGTGTACATAACAAACGGATCGCCGCCTTATATCTTCAAAAAGGCCAGAAGCCAGCGGAAAAAACGTTATTGTAATTCCACCACCGAAACTTCCAAACCAGGGAAGCAGCACTCCATTCACAATTCAGACACCGAGGCGAGGGCGTTTGATCGAGCGTATTGATCAAGAAGCCGGGGTTCAGGCAACGTCGCCAGCTCAGAATATCAGCCCTGGCGATGGAAATGAGATATTAACATGCGCCGGGCGCCATCATCGGTGACTGACCAGGGATAGCAAATGTGACGTGAGATCAGAGTTTCGTGGGATGTGCGATCAACAGTTTTCGCGTCGTTGTCCACAGCCACATGCAACACAAGAAGGCCAAGAATAACAGGAAGCGTGCAACGCGTGGGCTGCTGGTTTGATCATCCCAGTCGGTCGGCCACTAGCAGACCGAATCAGCTGATTGCTTTGCATCGAACAATTCATGCCCAATGGCGAGAGATGCGGGGGAAGACTAGCGCGCCACGAAAGGGTCCGGGATCATTGCGTTCATCCTTCGGGCAGACAAAGATCTCCCGCTCTGCCGTATAAACCTAACACCACATGAGGCCTGCTCTTTGGGGCAATACTGCACTTCCCACCGCAGGAGTCGGACTGAATTGTCGAGCAGTCAAATGTCAAAGTCAGACGAACAGACGTAGAATGGGGGTTCTTCGTCTGGGCTTGGGCTTCTCTGAACCGGTGTCCAAGCCGGCGGCCATTTGGGCGTTGCATGAAGTATACCGACGTTTTTCACATCCGGGCAGAGCCATTTTCGGGTAGAAGGTCGATTGTAGTCGTGGTTGGTCAACCGCGGCAGTCACAAGGCGTTCAGCTCCCGCTGCCTTCGCCACTCAATTGCAGAAAGTCGGATCCTAATTTCTGACTCTTCTCTGCACATGCACTTACGACGACTTGTCGTACGAAGTCCAAACGTGGAGGGACTTCATCTCCTCCGTCTAACAACTCAATCCTCCCGCAACATGGAGGGGATAGTTCTCCCTTTAGCCCCCGTTACGCTCCACTGCTCTGGCCCGTTTCAGAAGCTCAACGAATATTGGGGTGGCATGTCAAATTTCGTGGAGAAGCCTCGTACATGAAGCGGAATCGCAGAGATATGAAAGAAGTCACCCCCTGGCCGTGTGAGCAAATGAAAGTGCTTCTCCGGCCCGAATGGCCGGAGCGCAACCAACAGGGTCGAAGCCTAACTCGACGCCCAATATTGTTTTGTCCACCAATCCTCATGTCTTTCAAACAACTGGCTACCAAAGAATGTCAATCACGTACTTCTCTGACAATTGTGAATGGCTCGGATTTCGACCTTTTTCTGGGGTTTGCCACCATCGAGGCAATTCGATTACTGAAATGCATTCCACCTTCAATTCGACGAGGTTCAAATGCATTCCACCTTCGACCTGTCGAATCGTAGCAGCATGCGTCTGATCATGTAGAGCGCGCAACGTGCCGTATCGGTAGTCGATCTTAATCACTCAGCTGTGCACGATGCAACTGATACATTCATGATTTAAGCTCTTCCACTGAAACCCGAGTATGGTCAGAATCCTATACCGTAGTTTAGCAGTAAGCGGGTCACAGCAGTGAGTGGGTCACATCACGGACCCTGTAATACATGATTGTCATGCATCTCCGTTGTACCCATGCCTCCCTCCTCCAATGAGCACTGAGTGCTCTTAGCTCTTGCCGCTATGAAGACCAATCCAGCATTGTCTATCCGAGAGGCTGCAAGGCAGTACAACGTGTTGAACTCAACACTGCAGCGCAGAATGGCTGGTGTCAAAGCACGCACAGATACGCATAGTCCGCATGCCAAGTTGACAGCAACCGAGGAGAGGGTGGTCATTGACTATGTGCTGAGGCTGGAGGAGCAGGGGTTTCCAGTGCGAAAGGGAGATTTGGAAGGGATGGCGGATCTATTGCTTGCAAAGAGAGGAGGGTTGAAGGTCGGGGCGGCATGGGCAGACCGGTTCATCCGACGACAACCAGAGATCAAGACTCGGCTCTCCCATCCCCTTGACTACCAGAGAGCATGGCAGGAAGATCCACAAGTGTACGCTGCATGGTTCTGGCTTGTGACCAATATGCAATCAAAATATGGTGTTCAGCCAGGCAATTTCCATAACTTCGATGAGACCAGCTTTGCCATAAGCATGATCAGAGCGACAACGGTTGTGATAAGCAGTGAACGGACAGCCCGGCCAAAGGCTATCCAGCCAGGGAACCGGGAGTGGGCAACAGCTATCTGCTGCATTGCAGCAGATGGGTACGTGCTCCCCCCTTTTCTTTGCGTGCTTGGGCAGCACCACCTTGCAACATGGTATGTGGACAACAACATCCCGGAGGATTGGGCTGTCAAACCCACCGACAAAGGCTGGACGGACAACACTACTGGTCTGGAATGGCTTATGCACTTCAACAAGTGTACTGAGAACCGCAGGATTGGTCAATACCACATGCTGGTCCTTGATGGTCATAGGAGCCATGTCACAGTTGAGTTTAACCAGTATTGCAAGGATCACAGAATTGTCCCCCTCTGCCTACTGCCACACTCATCACACTATACTCAGCCTCTTGATGTCAGCATCTTTGGGTCTTTGAAGCAGGCATACTGCAACCAGATCTCTTGGCTCTCACAGTGTGGCATCACAAGCATCACAAAGCCCAACTTCTTTGCCACATTCCACACTGCATTTGCATTGGCATTCACAGTTCAAAATATTAAGAGTGGATTCCGAGGTGCTGGTCTGGTGCCTCTGAATGCAGAGGCAGTCATATCAAAGCTCACATTACACCCACAGATGCCTACACCTCTGCCAGTCAATGAAGAACTGGAGCAGCCATGGGTCTCACAAACACCAAAGACTGCAGCAGAGACTGCCTCCCAAGCAACACTCATCAAGAACAGGATTGCCCAGCATCAGGGGAGCTCACCTACCTCAATCTATGCATTGATTAACCAGCTTGCAAAGCATGCCATTGAGCAAGACCATCACATGACACTCTTGACCAGATGAGTGCAGCTTCTCAAAGAGACAGTTGACCACCTTTCCAGACATTGCAGGATCAAGAATGTCCATCTCCAGGACTCTGGAGTACTTACTGGTGCACAAGCCAATGAGCTCTTGGCAGAGCAATGTGTTGGTGAGCTGGATGGGCAGGATCAAGGCAGAGGGGAGGCTTGGTTGAATCAAGCAAATCTGGGTGCACAATGCTGTAGACTCTGCAGATTGCCTGGACACAACTCCAGGATGTGCCCTGGTGCAGAACAAGTAGATAATGTGCCTGTACAGCGGTCTGATTAATGAGATGTTGCTTTAATGGTGAGATATTGTACATCCATCACAGAGGGTCCACAAACCTGACCCATTCACTGCCCTGACCTGCTCACTGCTTAACTACATTATAGTGAAGCAAATATGAAGAAGCATGGAGCCAATGCCATGTGTGAAAAAGCACATGGCTGCCATGCAAAAATGCTGGCATGGGGCCTTCGGGGTTTTCAAGCCCTGCTCCCACAGCCCCTGGGGCTTTTGCTCCTTGATCTCATAGCCACCACTAGAAACAGACGCGTCTGTTACTACCAGTGGCTGTGACATGTTTGCAGAGGTAATTCCTCCGATCCCTTTTGGGTGCATTTTGCCTACCATGACCCCTCAGGCATCCATGCAGAATTAATTTATATACTGTAAAAAACAAGACAAAGCTTGCAAATTAATTGTTGGAATATGCTTTATAAACCAACATGAAGAGACCAGACCCTAGTGCATCTTGAACTGCTACCACCTACTTCCTTAATTGGAAGGTCCGTGGTTGCTTAGGGCAGGCCTTGGGGTCATTTCAGGGATTTGCACCTGAGGGGTCATGGTAGGCAAAATGCACCTGAAAGGGGTCATCGGAGGAATTACCTCCATGTTTGCATCACTGCCACTTGCTTAAGAGCAGCTGTGTGCCATCCCAGGAGCGGCTGTGCACTGAATCCTGTTTGCTTACATGAGCAGGGTAGGGTTACCACGTCCCTAACCCTTTCTCACCTTCTACCCCAACCCTGAGAAACCTTTTTTTGCCATTCAAGTGGCTGAGGCCAGTGGCATATTATAATGTTGGTTTATTCTCTCAGATATTATCAAATGTGCTAATTTGTGATCTTCCCTTAGGCCGGATCTCACCACACCTCATTCTCATCAAGGAGTGAGGAACATGCAAGACAGGAACAACAACTCACATCACCTGCCAATCGACAGTGACATGTCCCTCAATCAGATCAAACACCAGTACCCCAACCTGTGTTTAATCTTCCAGCCCCTGTTCTTGCACCAGTGCAACCTCCAGAAGCTTATCAACTACCTGGAACACAAGAACATGCTGCTTGAAATCTCTATCTTGATGATTTGGCTGCATGTGCAAGAGCCATTATTGGAGAGGGCCCTTTGCCTGTTGTGCTCTCTCACCAAGAGCGACTTGCAAGAAGAGATGCAGGGAGACAACAACCAGAAAGAAATGTGAACCAACCCCCAGTTGCTGTCTCACACCAGGAGCTATGCCTTGCAAGGCAAGAAGCAGAAAGGGTAGAGGCTCACTTGGCAAAGTCTACAGCCCTATGCAATGATGTCCATACTGCAGTACATCACCACCTTTCAGCAAGTGACACAAGAAGCAACAGCAGGTCTTGCTCAGCTTCACCTTGACCATGATGCAGTATTTGGCTCAGCACATCTAGCTCCTAGACTTCAAGAGGCTGAAGATGCTGCCAGAGTTGGAGAGCTAGAAGAAGAAGCTGCAGAAGCTTTGGGAGCTATTCAGGCACAGCATGCCTGGGATCAAGATAGGGTCCAGCAATATGCTATGAAAGCCCAGTGAAATAGCAACAAAGTGATCAACCTGGGTGAAATGACTTATCAATGCTCCACCTGTCATGCTCTGCACTTTATCAAAGAATGCCACACAAATTCCTCAATCCATGAGCCAGT